CACTTCCTGGGCCAAGTTCAAACAGACCCCTGCTGACTAGATCGGGCCTGGAGGGTGTCTGAGCCTCTGCAACCCTTGGAAGGCATCACTGGGGAGCAGGCTGGCTGAGCATCCTAAGGTTTGAAAGCAGGACAGGCTGTGGGCACAGTTTGACCTGTAACAACGAAACAGTTACAACTAGAGCAGTTCTTAATGAGATGTAATTTTAATTCTGTCCTCCAGGGGATATACACTAACATCTAGAAATGGTTTTGGTTCTTAAAATTTTCAGGTTCCTGGGGAAGAGTGGGTGCTACTACTTCCTGGCTTAAGTGGATGAAAGTCAAATATGTAACTACACATTCTACAAAACATAGGACAGGCCCCTGCTACCACGCCCTCCTTCAGCCACCACCACCAAAACAGCTGGTCCACGGTATCAATGGTGCCAAGGCTGAAAACTCTCACAGTATAACGTGTAGACAGCTGTACTGTCTTACACATCAAAACACATACAGGAAGGTCTGGTAAAATCTGACTATGACATGTCTTTATAAAGAAACCAGTAAGCTGGAAATTGCTAGTATGCTGTAAGGGATTGTGACAGCCTGGGCATATTTTCAGTCCTTAATTGCGTCTCTGCATTACAATGGCACATAAAACTATTCCATTTCTGGCTCCCGTCTTATCGCATCATTTACATAATCTTTAAAGCAGCTCCACTTACTCATGAATGGACTAACTGAAGCATAGATTCTGTGTGGTGTGTGATGCATGCCTTTAATCCCAGCCCTTGGGAGACTGGGAACACGGATCCATGTGTTTGAATACACCCAAGGCTACAAAGTAAGTCCAGGCCAGCAGGGATACACAGAGAGACTTTGTTTAAAAATAAAAGAAACACCAGGTTCCCTAGGCAGCAACCAAAGCAGTATCAAGACAAAGGTCACTGTGAGAAGAAAATAAAAACACAAAACTTCAGCTACAACTCTGGGTGAAGGGGGAAGGCTGCAGAGAAAGCTGAAATATGAATATGTATGAATATGAGTAAATAGGAAAGAACACAAAGGCTCCAAAGCCAGCAATATGAATGCCTAAGTTTGCATGTGTTATGTCTTCAGAGTTAAATGATCACTGAGTTTTGTTAAAAGTCTTTTTTCTTCGTTTCTTTTCTTGTTGCTGTGATGAAATAGTCTGACAAAGCAACTTAAGGGTTTATTCCAGCTCAGAGTTCAAGACATCCATTAGTCATTCACGACAGAGAACTCGAAGCCACAGGAGTCGGGAGTGCTGGTCCATCGTATGCACAGTGAGAAATGGGATCAGAAATCTTGCTTGATTTTTATCCAGCCAGGATCCCTGCCCAAGGAATGATGCCACCTACAGTGGACTGGTATTTCCATCTCAAATAAGCCTGATCAAGATAATGCCCCCATGAATGTGTCCAAAAGCATGTGCTCTAGTTGATTCTAGATTCTGTCAAATTGGCAACACTAACCAACAACCACAGGCTTGGCCGAGGTGACAAGCTTTAATGTGGCAAATAGAACAGGGGTGCACCGAAGACTAAAGTGAATCCACCCATGAGGGCACGGCAGAATGAATTACTGGGAAGCAGAAGCAGGCAACTGTGGGGTGGGCCTCGGAAGGACATCTCATTCCCGGGTGCTTCCTCTATGTCTCTGTTTCCTGACTGTCATGAGGTGAACAGCTATTGTGTGAAGCTTGCCCCTTCCATCCTTTCTGGTCACCATGTCTGTCTTTCCACAGGCCTACCAGCAATGGACTCTGTGGACTTTGGGCTGACACCTTTGAAGCCAACAGTCAGATTAAATCTTTTGCCAAGTTGTTTCTTTCCTCAGGCAGGTCTGTCACCGAGATAAAAAAGTTAAAACATACAATGTGTTTCTAAAAAGAAATACTTCAGCTATTACCTATCCTTCGAGATTCACTTGGCACTTCTTCTGGAAGACACTGAAGAATAGGTAAGTATAATTAGCCTTATCTGAGGATAAGGGGATGCCATATTACCACAGTCTTACAAACCTGACCAGATAGCAATGCTGATGTCTAAATGAGGAAAGAAAGCATTAGTCACAACAGTCCAGTGTCTGAATGCCCCAGCTAACATATAACCATGTCTCATAGGTAAGACCACATTTCACTGGACCTGTTTTCATGCATGAAACGTGGATAAACTAAGATGCCCCTTCCATATAAGCAGTCTGCTAAAGAATTTACATCCTTTACAACAGACCACTGACTGAGCATGCCCGCAGAATCCACAGCCACCTTTCCAGGTTCCATTGGCAAGACTTAAATCCAGGCCAACGATGAGCTCTCTTATATACAAACATCTCTCCAAGCTTACAAAAAGCTCCAGAGAATTTTGGCAAAGCCTTCATTTTTGTCTTAATTTAACTCGAGCAAACAAACAAAGCAGTTCATTCAACTTTGGCCAACGAAAAATAGACTTCATCTGTGTTCAATGTGGACTGGTTAAAGGGGCCAAGATCTCTGTTCAAGTGCTGGTTCTACTCCATTTATGACCTCAGGGGAGCCATCAAAATTTACTAAAACCCACACATGGTGGTAAACTTCTACAACCCTTTAGCAGTGGCAGGAGGACCACCAGTTCAAGGCTGGCTTTGGGCCGTTGTCTAAAAATAAAATAATGGCTTAAAGGAAAAAAAAATGTGTCTCAGTCTCCTGGTCCTCAAAAACAAACAAAAAGAATTTGACTAAGTAACCTCAACTTTCCTTCCAACTCAAACACTGACACAAAATTTGAAACCCTCTGAAATGAAAAGCTTAACAGTCTATCAAATTTGGCTTTGAAAAGACTACCCAATATCAGTGGCAAAGTCAGGCAACTACAGGCTAAACACAGAATGACAAGGACAAGAACTGCTGTGTGGGCCCCTTCCTGGCAGGCATCCTTTCAGTTGCTAGTCCCTGGCGGGCAACACAACATTCACGAGACACACATTGGCTTGGCCAGTCATGGCTCCAGCACGCGAAGCTGGCCTCTCCTACCAGTGCCATTTCAACCCAAAGTGAATAGTAAACACAGCAATACAATGACGGAATTCTAGAACCCAAGAGACTAAAGTGATCCTCTTCAACCCTTCCATTGTGGAGAAAAGCATTCAGTTTCACAAACCACTTAAAGGTTAACTGGCTGGGCATGCAAGGAAGCCTCTTGACTTAACATCTTTATATATATATATATATACATATATATATATATATCACATATTTTATCCTAAAAGCATTCATAACACAGTGACCGTGATGAAGTGTCTGCTTATAAACTTAGCATGTCAGCTGTCTACTTCAGGCATAGGATGTCTAAGAAGCACTCCTGCCCACCAAACTAACGCAGACATCTTGAGGGCTCTGAGCATCAGGGGAGACGAAACAAGAGCTACTATTTCATATCTGCATCTCCTGTTCGCATCAGTATCTCCTCAATTACAGGAGATGCGCAGCACCAAATATGAATGGTACCTAAACATCCCCCTTGACCTTCCATTCATGGGTGCAATCTGACACCTGAGTTCATCTAAGACTCACTGGACAGAGTAAACAAATCAAGTATCCTAAAAATACAAGTTCTCTGCATCCTCTCTAGGAAAACAGATAACGTTAACATACAACAAAAGCCTGGTAATTTTACAAACTGTTGATGGACATTTTGTCCAGGCAATCCCCATGAAGTCGCATCTTTTGAAACCATTCCTGTATCCTTCTCCCTTCTGCTTTCCCCTAAAAAGACTGTCACAGTGCCAGTTTCAAATCCTCGAATAACAGAACATAAGGTTAGAAAATAACAAACTAACAGTAATGGTCGTGAAGATGATGGCTGCATTTATTCCTCTGAGTGAATCAAGCAGAAATAGAAGAAAAGCACAATAATGTGAAAATAAAATAATTTGTTGTTTGAGGGGTTGAAAGTGACCTCTACATTAAGACGAAAGATTTGACACAACTATGAAGTAAACCATTCTATTATTAAAATTTCCCCCCTTTTACCCAACACTAGAAAAAAATTGGGCATTTGAAGCTGCCTAGAAATCCCGCACCCCGGTATGTCTCCAGAAACAAAGTCAGGCGGGGCGAGTTAGGAATTCCGAGGGGAGAAAAATTAAAAAAAAAAAAACACACAAGTTTTTTTAATAAAAATTCTGGGGCAGGACACACTTAACAAGGGCCCCTAACTTGCAAAGAATCTCAGACCCATCACTAGCATCATCACGCCACCTCTGGACCCGAGATCAGGAGGCCTGCCTGGTCTGCAAGGAACCCCGGTGGGCCACCGGGTGGAGAAGTCTCACGGGGAGCAGAGCACCTTGGGTCCCTGGTTGCACAGCAGCACCTTGTAGTATGTATCAAAGCCTCCACTACCGGGGTCATCACCACACCCGGCGTCCCCAGGGGACAGCTGCTGGCACACTCGGGGACCCCCCGGACACCCCTGGCCTCTGACCCCCGGGGACCCCCCCCCCCGCCTCTGACACCCGGGGATCCCCTCCCAGGCGACCCCTGGCCTCTGACCCCCGGGGACCCCCCGGCCACCCCTGGCCTCTGACCCCCCGGGGACCCCCCCCGCCACCCCTGGCCTCTGACCCCCCCGGGGACCCCCCCCGCCACCCCTGGCATCTGACCCCCCGGGGGCCCCCCCCCGCCACCCCTGGCCTCTGACCCCCGCGGGGCTCCAGTCTCGTCCCTCAGAGCCGCTGAGGCAGCCCAGGCCTCGTCCCCGGGACCACAGTGCTCGGGAGTCGCGCTGGGGTTGGCCCGGGCTCTCCCGGGTCGCACCGGTCTCCGTTACCGCGCACGCCGGAGCCGTGGGGCCGCCGTCGGTTCCCGCACGCCGCTCCCGCCTCGGGGTCCCCGATCGGTGCACCGCGATCCCCCCACACCCCGCTCCGGCCCCGGGGACGCTCGAGTGAAGCGAAACTAACTCCGGGGCCGCGCTTCCTGGAGGCGCTCGCCCTCCCCACCGGCCCCGCACTCACGGGTAGGCATGGCGACCCCGAGCCCGCCGCGCTCGCCGCCGTTCCCGGACTCAGAGGAGCCGCGCCGACCGCAGCATGCCGACCGCGGAAGCCCGGCGACGGACGCCTCGTCGGGGCCGGAGGGCGAGCAGCCAGCCGAGCGAGCGGACGGACGGACGCCGACCGGCCTCGGGCACCACCGGCGGCCGATCCGCGATCCTCCCCCCCGCCCCGCCCCGTCGACGACGCGCGGGGCCGACCCACGCCCGTTGACGTCAGCGCGTCGCCTCCCGGGAGGTCCCGCCCCCGAGCCGCCCAAGCTCCGCCCCCTCCCCCGGCTCCAGCCTGGGCTGCCTGCCCCTGCAGGGTGGGCTGGGCGGCGAGCAGGCTCCCTGCTTCTGAACTCCCGGGTTCCTTTTCCGTGCGCTGGCTCCTGGTGATCTGACTGCCTCACCCCGGCTCGCGTCTGCTCGAGAGGCAGTAGCGTGTTAGGACGGTGAGGGTAGAGCTTCCGTCCGGCGGTCTCTGAAAGCCTACAGCCTTTGAGATGCTCGAGGGTTATCTGGGGTGAAGGCTGAGCGGTTTTTCCCTCTCTGGGGCTGCTCGTGGCTTTCAAAGCGAGCAGGTCCACCTTTACAGAGTGTTCCGAACGCCTGGCTAGCTAGGCATTATTAATATTCATTCTACTTGATGGGTTCTGTTGGGAGTCGCAAAACTGGTTCAACCCGGTAGCCAAAAGGAGCCTGAGTGCCTGAGTGTCCAGCAGTGTAGGCAGTACGTGTGATATTGCCTAGACGACTGTAGGCTGCACACACACACACACACACACACACACAATCAATCCCTCTGGAGAAACACTAGCAATGCCCGGAAAAAGTGCTTCGCGAGACATTGGATCCCGTTAATGAGTTCGTGGCTAAGTGCTGGGGGGCACGTGAAATGATGTAAATATGCGCTTACATTTGGAGACCTATATCCTGGAATGTGGCTCCCACTTTCCACTTAAGAAATAAGACTGTGAAGTCTCGTCTCGAGATAAAGATGAAGCAACCAGAGAGGCTTGAGGGCAATTACTCTTGGAGTCAACTTGGAAGAAAGCAGAATTTGAATTAGCCAAGACCTTGGAGGATACAGAGAGGGCAGAAGCAATTGCCAGTGAGTCACAGAAGCTGGTGAAAGGGAAGCTTGTGTAACAGATAGCAGAGGTGACCCTTGATGATGGGAAAGGACAAACCATCAGGGATGCGTGTGGCCCATGCTTAAACGGGCGCTGTGATAGCAGTGTTGTCCGGTTGACAGAAACTACAACCCGTGGAGCCAGGCCTCTGGGTATGCCCCGGGAGGATGATACTGGGTTAATTGAGGGACAGCCTAGACTGTGTAGGTGTAAAGGGACAGCTCAGCAGCAGCAGAATGCACCTAACTCTGCTTCCTGGCAATGATGCAACCCATGCCTGCTGGCGTGGCGCCCCCACCAAGGTCGACTGCAGCCTTGAACTGAGATTCAGAGCAAACCCGTTCTCTGAGATTCAACACGATGTTATGTATCTTTAATTCCAGTCAGGGCCAGACAAAGTTCTTTGAGTTCAAGGTCAGTTTGGTCTATATACTAAGTTTCAGGCCAGCTAGAACTACACAATGAGACCCTATATTTAAAAAACAGAGGGCACAAAGCCCCCTTGTCCCTTAAGTTTTTCTTTAGTGAGAATAGTTATCATATTAACTGGAAAATTAACAAGGAGAGGCTCCAATGAACTGTGATATGTTTTTATGACCTCAAAATTCTTTCCTAGTCCCACGTGTCTTTCCAAGACTTCTATAATATCTTTGTGTGCCTGTACTGTTACATTTTTCTCTTGTAATATTAATGAAACTGTTGAAGCAATGTTATTCTATCACTGGGATACACAGTTTTAAAGCAATAAGAAAAAAATCTGCTCATATATATAAATAGGAACACAAATGTACACCAGCCACACCTATACTCCTGCCTGGCAGACAGTCGTGAGCTAGAGTACATTAATTCAATAATTCTGTAAGTTAAGAATTTACAGTTGACTCTTCTGGTTCCATATCCTCAGATGTAACTAAAGTTGACTACATACATACATACATACATACATACATACATACATATATACCTTTTTATCAGTAATGGACACACAGTGGTGTACTCCTCATTTTTCTGAAACAATATGACAAATGTTCACATGAGATTTACACTGTACGAGGTGTTATAAGCGATCAAGAGATAATTTAAAGTATAAGGGAGGATGTATGTAGGTTATATACAAATTTAATGGTATCTTATATAACAGACCTGAAATCCAAGCAATTCTGTATTCAAGGGAGATCCTAGAATAATTCCTATAGATACGAAAGTATGGTTCTATTTATTCTAGAGTACAAATACAGTAAAGATAGAAAAAGATTTAATAAGCAACTTATTTAATAAGTCAAGCTTAGGATTCGTTATTTTACAAACCACTCTATGCTCTCTACCAGAGAAGTAGCGTTAAAATATCAGTAAGAGGGATCTAAGGAGTAGACTGGGTGCCTGGTAGAGAAACCTTGGTGATAACCTGCCGTTTAGCAGGCATCAATGCTGGTGCAGAGAGGACTCTCGGGGGTGCCTAGCACTGTCGGTGGCTGTGGAAAAATCAGATCTGGATTCTGAAAAAGAATCCCCAGGATCTGCTGGCTGCTGTGTCGGAAGCGGTAGAGAGGCATCTGTTCGTTATGTAACTCCAAGGTTGGAACAAGGAAACTCAGGAGAGCAGTAGAGAACTTGGAAAGGATGTGGGGAAAGGGTGGGAACCACGCTAAGCTACAAGTGATCAAGCGAGGCATCCAAGTGCAGAGAGCTGCAGGCGGGGGGGGGGACACCAGATTGGAAGTTTCCATCCATCCCAAGGTTCTCAGGAAGGAACACTGGGAAATCATCGTCACAGAGACAGAAGCTGCTGAATGTGTAAGTTGGAGAGAGTCCTCTGAAGAAGGATGACATGGAGACAGAGACAGAGTGAGACAAAGAGAGAAAGACAGACAAAGAGAGACAGACAGAGACAGAGAGAGACAGAGACAGAGACACAGAGAGAGGACGCTGTGCCCTAGAAGGCAGGTGTGATGCCCAAAAGCAGACATCTCTACTTACATTACCGAAAAAAGATACAAAGCCCAATGCCCTGAGAGTCTGGCCCATAATATCTTTGTCTTTTTGTCCCCTTAGTTTTTTGCACTGTTGCCAGAAGTGAAATCAGCAACCAAGGATTCCGAGCAAGGGCAGCTGAAAGACAGGAAGCGAGTTTCATAACATTTGGAGTTACACATCTTCTTCCTAGTGAGTGCGCATAGGATTTGGGTAGGCCTCATCCCATACAGCGGTGTTCTTGGTTTTAAAGCCCTCTGGATCTAGTGTCTGCCTGGGTATCTCCTCACCACACACTGCTGAAATCAATGACTCCAACTACCCTATTTCTTGGAGTATATGAGCTAAGAGCGAATGCTAGCCTCTCCTGAACTGTTTTCCTGTTTCCTCTTGCAAACGCCTTTCCCCACCCATCCCCACTGAACAAACCCAATCTCAGCAAGGAGGACTTGAGATCTAGGCACCCCCTCCATCCCTGTCCAGGCACAGTGTGGGTGTGACAAACACTGAGAGAACTTACAGACCCTCTTCAGGCCAGGACGCAGTCCCTTAGTGTGTGAGCCACTGGAGTCTGAGGTCAAGGTGCCAAGCAGACAGAGCACAGGCATTGCATCTAACATGCACTCTAATAATACCTCTGTCTTGCTTAAAACTCATTATAGCCCAGCACTCAAACCCCTTCCCATCACTTACTACAGGAATGTAGGAGGCCTTTCAAAACCTGGTTTCCCATCACCACATCCCAGGCTTGTCTCTCTCCTGGCCCTGATGAAGTAAAAACAATGATCCCACCATGCAGTATGGTTTTTATTTGTTTGGTTGGTTGTTACTGGTTTTGTCAATGTTTTCCCAGCGAATAACTTTTCCTATACCCTTTATTCTAGGAAACTTTTGTTCAGCCTTTAAAACCCCCGTGATTAGTTAATGTAATTAAGAATGCTTAAAACCTAATAATCACCCTTCTAGGCATATGCCCTGGAAAAAAATTCTTAGAAGAGTACATAGGTTTATGGGAAAGGGAGTTCATTGTGTCCGTGGGAAGAGTGGGGTGTACAGGCAGCTCAGATTTTATCACTTGTAAAATGTGGTGCAGTTATGCATGATATTCAATATCAGCAGCATGGCTTACTCTGAAAAATACAGAGATGGCTGACATAATTGAAGGTCATCGATATTTATAGTACAGCAATGCTTGCATAGAAGATGAACACACAAAACAGCATTGGTATTTGTAATGGGATCAATCCTTTCAAAGAGACCTACCTAGCGTCATAAACTGATCTTAAGGTATTTCTTAGGACCATACCTCAAGGCATCTTTCAAAGTCCCCAGCCTTCTATGGCACACCGGAGGTAGCAGGGACTCCCAGAAGTAACTGGGGTGGGAGCAGTTAGACCTGAAACATTTGCTAAAGGCAATCTACATATAAACCGTTAATAATAAGGCCCTTTTATTATATTTATGGTCTTCCAAAACAGCATCAAATCAAGAAAAAAACATTCATTCGTACTTCAGTAGGGGAACACTTTCTTTTCTATATTTATTGGTATACTTTCAGGATGTAGGCCACTAAAAATAGAAGTCCTTTGTCCCTCAGTGTTTTATTCCTTCTCAGAAAGTAATTAAAAGATCGAAATAATATTAGAAAGGTCATTGTCCATGTCCTATCAAGGCATTAGCTTTTAGCACCAGTTCCTCAAAATAGCCTTGCTTCAAGTTTAGGCCAGTGTGTGCTCCAAGTTCTGAAATGTGCTCTGGGCTGATTAATTTTTAATTAGTGTGCACCTTAGCGCTTCCACAGAAACTGCAAACAAATTTGCAAGTTATAGGAAATAAGTGTAAGACTATTTACTTCTCATAAAAGCATCTTCCCCAAAGGTCATCATGATGTGATTTCACATTCTCACTGTCTGGTCATTTTTTTTTTCAAAATGAATGTTTACATTGATTACTTTCCTCTTTTGACCTGGGCCGATACTTGATTGGGAGGATTTAACTTCCTGCGGTGTTTCTATGTCTATGATATAACCAAGATGGACATCAGGTGCCATTGGAAAGACTTGATGAACAAA